TGATAGTGGGTGGAGACGGTATGGAGGGTAGTGTTCGACGGGGCGTTAGGAGGCAGGAGTGAGAGAAGTGCTGGTCGTCGTAGCGGAGGCTGTGGCAGGGATGATGGGAAGGCCGTGACCGAGGTCAGCGATGTGTGATCCTTAGCGGTGAGGAAGGCCTTCGACCTGGGCGTTCTGGAGGGGATGACGATGAAGGTGTACGTGAAGGCAGGAGTTTGGGCTGTCGGGCTTTAGTTGCACTGGATCCTAAGATACCCGATGAGGCCGATCCGCGCTCGGAATGTTCGTTGTCTGCGTGGGCAGGTTGGAAGGAGTCAAATATTGGCGTTGGAGGTGCTTGAGACTTGCAGGCTGCTCTTTTGACTTGGGCAGCGGACATCCGGTTGTTGCTCACTGCCCTTCCCCAGGCCAGTCCTTCCAGAGCGAGGTCCTACGGGATAAGTCGCAGGTTCTGCTCTTCTGCAGGCCGCCCGGTCCTGAGTCAGGTCCTCCCTGGTTTCCAAGCTATTTTCAAAGAGTTTTTCAGTATGACCTTGTAGCGGCGAATTTGTCCTCCTTGTCAGCGTGGCGAGGACGCTGAGGATTCCGGTCCCTACCAAAACTTTCGTGTCGGGAATACTGTCCTCTAACACCAACTCAGTCAAAGGTGATTGAGTTTTCTTGCTTGATTGACGTAGACAGTTCCTATCTCCGTCCCGTAAAGCATCGTCATCAAGACGACGACTTTGTACATCTTGAGGATGGTGTTGAGATAGAGACGGTAGCGATCCCAAATATGAGTCTTACAAGGGGTCGAAGGCCTGGTTGGGTTTGGAGATCCGGTGGGTCACTTTGTCGTCGGTTTTGATTCAGCGTGAGGACGCGCTGGCCATATAGGCGAGTTTGTTTACGGATTTGATTTGGGTGCCATCGACACTGAGAGGGGGGTTGTATTCAGTGTCGGGTGACAACTGGTGAATGACTACCGTTTTTGTCCGCGTTGATGGTCTGCCCAAAGTTAATCCAGCCGGCGACGAGGTTCATGCTGCGTTTCTGACGCGGTGTTGAGCAGGTAGTTATCCGCAAATAGCAGATCATGGACAGTAGTCGTCGATAGACGCGCTGCGGCCTGCATACGCCAGGTGTTGAGAAGATGCTCGTCGTTCCGGCAGACGATGTGGATCCCAGGGCATTTGTCACGGTAGGCGTCCATCAGCATAACATAAAATACGAAGCTGAAGAGGGTGGTAGGGAGGACGCAGTCCTGCTTCATTCTACTGGCCACTGCGAATGCCCCAGAGATTCGGCCGTTGTCCGTGACGCTCGTCATCATCCCGTCGTGGAGCCGACGCGCCATGTACGTGAATCGTTCAGGACAGCCGAATTTATGCATGATTCATCGCGATCCTTAGCAATTCACCATGTCGAAGACTTTCGTCAGGTCCACGGATATAATGTGGAAGTGGGTCAACCTCTTCTAGCCCTTCTCTTGCGGCTGACGTTCGACGGAGATCATGTCGGTGGTTCCTTGATGTCACCGGAAGTTACACCGTTCAAGATGTCCGTTGAGACGATTGAGGCGGATGCGGACGAAGATCTAGTAAGGACGCAACATGAGACCCAGGATTGCATATTACACATTGTTGCCTACTGAATTCCACAAAGTAGTGTTATTTTACCAGCTACGACTGCGAGGCCAACCCTTCAGCCACTGCACTCCCACACGAATATCTTTCGTAAACGGCGAGATTTAGGGGTGTCCTCCCTCACCCCGTTGGGTTCGCTTTGCCTTTCCATAGGTCCGAAAGCACTGCCAGCGAGTTCTAGGGGTTTTCTTCCCCGCCATCCGTTGACTTCGGTTCACTTTTTGATTGGTCGCCATCCAAACTAGCCTCCGGTCTTGCCGTCATCAGGTGCGGATTATCAACGTTCCTTGTGTTTTTTCATCTTCCATTTGTTGCTATAAACCGCTATTCTTACTATACTCTAGTAGGCAGGTCTGTTGCGGTGTTCGCCGACTTAGACCTGAACTGCGTACCCTGAGAGCCGCCCAAGGGGGGCTATTGTACTACGTGTACTTCAGTAGCCAGTTATTCATGTTGGACGCATACAACAATGCTTGTACCAGCTAGCTTCACGTTCTTAAATCGCATCCGTAAACGGTTACGGCTTCTTTGACGATGTCGCATTCAGCGTCCGTTTTTTCATGCCTCTACTATCGCAGTTCACTCGGTTTAATTTTCCATTTTTGGACACCTCGGCCACCTAAACGTGCTTCGCAGTACCCTTGCATTGCGCGGTGCGGTAGGGTCAACGTTCGCGCTCAACTCCTATGGGGTTTTCGGTGCCTTACGTCCTTGGATTTTCATTGGCCACTTCGCCGCTTTGATCTCTGACCTTAGCGTCATTATTGTAGGGGTGTTATATTTAGTTTACTTTGGTATTATGGTGTTAAGTATCATCCTAATTCAGTCTTTCAGTCCACTTTTAAGGTCATACACAGACCTATTTTAACTTACTCACGGATTTACAACAATCTTCGCACAAATTGCCTTTTCCTCCTGTCCACCTTTCCATCTATTAGCCCACCCGTATAACCCCTACTTCCACTGGTCCAGTAAGACAAGAGGATCTATCTTTCGTTATTTGGAATGGGTCTCATATTGCGTCGTTGCCGAAGATCTTCCTAGCGAAGTTCAGAAGCGAAATGCCTCTATTGTTCTCAGAAAGTTGCCGGTTCCCTTTGCGCCTATGAAGATGGGCGACTTTTGCACCCCTGAAGGTCTGGGAGCTTGTCATCTGCACCGCACCTCGTAGTATACTGTTGCAGGGTGGTCTAACAACCAAGGACCGCCGTTCCTGTAGACTTTGATCAGGATTGCGTCGGATCCCGGTGCTTTCCAGACAGAGTTGTTGCACGGCTTTGATGATTTTTGCGAGGAATGATGGGAGGTCTAGATCATAGTTCATGTCCTCTTGGCGAAGCCGGTTTACGGCGGCGTCAGAGATTTCAGATGGGGAGTTTAAAGCACTTCTGAAGCGTCGACCCAGCATTTAAGTATCTGCAATTTCTCCGTCAAATGTATCGTTCCGTCGTAAATGAGAAGCGGTTCGGTTCCCACCAACTGTGGGGCCGTAGGCCGCCTTGATTGATGCTAATAAGTTTTTTTGTTTCATTGCAGTCCGCCAACTTGCGGTTTTTTGGAATTGCGAGCCATCCAATAGTTCGCATTCTCCCGCAACCGTTGCTGCAGCAGCATGCGAAGAAGGTCGCTTTGCTTGCGCCGGTCCGGCAGTCGGCGTAGGCTCTGTGCAGCCTATTCTCCTCGACCAGCAGATTACTGACGTCTGCATAGCTTAACTTGTGGTCACCACTGAGGTTGTAGTCGAGGCCTTATCTTCGAGAGGACAAGGCGATGGTCGGACTGGTTATGGGCACACGCGACTGCTTTTGTCCCCAGCACGTTCTGTCGATCTCGCCTCCGAACGAGAACCTAATCCCGCAGCTGCCAAGGGCGCGATCGAGGGCGCATCCAGGTTGCCTTCTTCTGCATCTAATAATAATAATTTTTATTAAAAACCTGTCGTGGTCCCATCAAAGCAAGTAAAAGTAAATTTACATAGAATTTTAAATGAGATAGGCGGGATCTGTACAAAATGCAATTCATAGTTTCTGAATTAGTAGTCCTGTGAGAAAAATGACTAGCGAGAGATGAAGAAAAACACTCCAATTAAAAATTTAAAAATGATTGGATTAATTTCACAGGAGAAAAAAAACTCCTCGCAAAAAATAATAACAGAAAAATGCGGGCAGGACTGGCCTGTATGTGGCGGTATATAACGGATTATAATCGGACCCCGTCAGGGCAGAAATAAATGACAGCCTTGAGGGGCACGTATGTGGGTCAGACAGGACTGGCCTGCATGTGGTATTGTATACGGGATTCAGAAATGACATCGTCAGGGCAGGATTGATACACTGGATGAGACTATTCGCGTCGAAGAGGCCAGACGAGAGGCACCCAGACGCTATCGGCCACAGTACGCTTCGAGCCTAGCCGAGGAGTGGGCAAGGGAGGTACGACCAAACTACTAGTAGACTGCGAATACAGAGGGTTCCGCCGTGAGCGTCAACAGACTGCATGAGGTCGAAATGAGGGAGATGACATCAAGAACCGCGAAAATTGTCGCTATGGGGGAGGAGTGATAGCAGTGGATTTAGAAACCGATTAAAAACAGGGTTTCTAATAATATAATTGAGGGTCTCCTCTTGATCTACCACTAAATCCTAGGAGGACACTTCTCGAATTCAAGAAGCTGAGTGTTCGGGACTGAAACCGTTAAAAGTGCCTTTACGCTTTCCGGTGTTAGGTGTTTGCCTAATTTCGACTTGAATCCCAGTAACTTAGGCGGTGACCTAATTTCTGGCGGAAGATTATTCCAAAGGAAGGCATATTTAGATGCAAAGAAGAGGGAGCGCTTAGATGTCGTGCAAAGAGGCGGCGGAATCAGTTGCGCGTGGCATAAGACCGATCCCTCGGAATGAGAGTGTCAATGGGCGGAAGGTTGGAGCTAGAGTTGATGCGAAAAAAAAGAAGCAAAGGCCAGCGTCGAGTCTTCTAACCCATAAAAACTTGACGTTTGCCAGCTGACATCTCTGAGTATAAGATGTACCGGATGCAACTTGAGAGAACAGTTTCCGGGTGAAAACCCTCTGAACATTTTCGATCTTATAGCGGTCACAGGCGTTCATTAAACCAAAGAAAGGACAGCAGTATTCGAGGACTGCATCTGCAGGCAGGGTGTTGGTCAGCAGGAGGCGGTGTTCTGCGCAGGTTAGCAGGAGGGCGAGAATATTGTCATTGCAGCCTTCGATCCCGTGAGGACCCAGCATTCCCCTTCAGGCAGGGCAGTCTGTCCCGACATGGGCACTGAAGTCGCCGAGGACAATCAACTTGCTCGCCTGCGGCACACATGCCAGGAGAGCGTGCAGGTCTTCGTGGAACTTGGCCATCGCCTCGTCAGAGCTGGTCATTGGTGGGGGCGTGGGCGCTGATAATGGTGGCGTATTTGACTCCCTGAAGAAGTGGGCGCAGACCCATGAGTCGGTCGTTGATACCCTGCATCATGGAGGGAAGCCGTCCCAGGATGGCAAAGGCGACGGCAGCGTCGCGTAGTTCTATCTTTGGGCGATCGCTCCAGGAGAAGATGCAGCCGACACCCATCTCCTCCAATCGGCCCTCCCAGAAGCGGGCCTCTCTGAGAGCAGCAATGTCCACTTTGCAGCGCGTCAGTTTTCGCGCAAATAGAGAGTCCTCCGTTCCGCATGAACGCTCCTAGGATTGTCTAGGGGGGAACGGACATTCCAGGCTGCCAGAGTGAGCGGACTCACCATAGCAGCCTGTAGGGTGGGTGGGGGTAGGGGGGACGAGGGTTGTTGTTCGTGCTGTTGTCCCGACCGCGAGTTGTCCATCTGCGAGTCAGGGTTTGAGTGCAGATGACGTGCTTCCAGCATTTTTAGGGCACATTTTCTTGTCCCTTTTTCCGCGAGGAGGTAAGCAGCGCTGTCTCCAAATAGGGATAAATAGATATCGCAGGTGGATACCGAACTTAATTATTTATTAATTGGGGAGCTATCTGGTCCACAGAATACACTGAGGAGGATTTTACGCACCAAGAGACGGATGACACAGACCATAACTGGCGCGGTCTGAGTCTGCACTGGGTCGTATCGCGACTCTCTCAATTTTGGCACTTGTAATGGGTGGGAATTTTAAAAAATGCCTGCCGGACTGCGCTCTGGTTCCCCTGATGGTTCAGAGCATTTATCGGGTGGCCTGTTTTAGAGGCAAACGATAGTTCGACCGTCGATTTCCACGATGTCCACCCTGTGCTCCACAGCAAGGTGAGAGAAGGGATGGTGACTTGCGCTCGAGTTAGTTTATGGTGGCAGTAGACTCGCACAGCATCTACCGCACTTCCTCCTCCCTAACCTGAACCCAATGCCCAGACAGAGACAAGCAAACCGGAGGCAGTGGAGGGCGCAGGTGGATAGCACGGTCGAGCTCTCACTTTGGCGTTCCACTCCACGTCCCCTAGTCCACACAGCAAATGCCCAGGTTTTTGACCAACAACAACAATGTGGGGGCGACAGGAGTCCTAGTGTGTGTGACGGCTGCCGGCAACCGGGTCTGCCACCGCACCCCCGAAAATGTTAGCATTTGTTATGCTGCACGAATCCGATAACGCCCACCAGAATCCGATATGGCCCCCGTGCTGGTCCGGCGCATCTACCATGTGACCCGTTTGAGGGGCACATGTTTCCGGCTAGGCCACATCTCCGTGGCAGTTTGTTTCTGCAATCACTAGCTCGGCCAGTTATTTGTGCCGACTTGCCATTTCGCTGCTGGATGCCCATCAGACTTGGCACCAGCTTGATGAGAGCTTGAGGCTGATCGACGTCGCGCCCTCCGCCGATTGGCTGCTGGCGCACTAGGCGTAGGCGTACGCGCAATAAGGTTTAATAACCCAAACTCTGGCTGCACCGCTTTCAGAGCTTCGAGTACGTTCTCTGGCCGTAGTAAAGTTTGTCCATTAATTATGTCCTCCCTGACTTGTGATTTGGAAGTCTTTAGATCGTCGACCAGAAGACTTAACAGATCTACACAGATCACTTGACTGAATCGCTGTTCAGCAAGATTTCTGCTTTGGTAGGGGGCGCTAACCGATCGTTCATACGGAACTCACGCGTTTCGTTGTGTCTTACGGGCTCTTACTCGAACCCAACCAGCAGCCGCACAGCGGCGCATGATATAGGCAGAATGGCATTACCGACAAAGACAAGAGAGATTGGAATGGCCATTTCTCGCTTATTAGCCGTCGTCAGCCAGTCATGCCCAAGCCCGAAGTGTGGAACACTCGAGGCTCGAACTCGCGACCTGTTAATTGGAAGTCCACGCCTCTAACCACTGGGCCACGAGCCTGTTGTCCTGTCAGTTTTTGATCGGGAGTATACAATGGTAGGGGGGAGGGGTGGCGCTCACCGAATGTTCTTACGGAACTCACTCGTCCCCTTATACCTTACGGGCTCTCTCTCTAGAGCCCAACCAGCAACCACAGATTTCTGCTTGCCTGTCCTGAATCTAAGCCATTTTCTCGGGCTTGCCTCCCCAGATACTTACTTGGCACAGGCGGTTAGCATATAGGACTCTGATTCGAATAAGTTACCTAGCCGACTTACCTTAGTCCACAGTATTCCAGCATCCTAAATGTAGGGACGACCACTAATGAAGACACGAATGGAACTATTGAATGATTCCTAGAGAACACAACTTACAGATCGTTTAGAAATATAATGGGAATCCAAACAAACGCTTGGGTCCCTAAAAGCATCTAAAGAAACAAGCAAACAGTATGCGGACTCCTAAAACGCCCAAGTCATAGACTTAAGAAAGACGTGATTCGCCGCAAAATGGCACCCCTTTTGAGGAGAATGAGTTAGAGCATTCGTATTACGTATGAAATGGCTCTACGAGTGAGATTGGCAGCCAGCCATGAAGCCCTCCCCCCCTCCCTAAACCAGAAGACCACAGTTTGTAAATAGATTGCAGATCATGTTACATTCCCGGGAACGTTCAACGCCGCTTAAGCATTTCTTAGTTCGAGTTGCAAACTCCTACGTACACTGCGTCCACTGGTAAGCGGAAAGTCTGTTGCAGAGAATATATGACTACTAAAGTCGTCGCGACATAGTATTCATTAGTTTCGTTACGGACAACTCGCGCTCACAGGAGTGCCGCTGTAATCTTGAAGGCAGAGATTAAGTATCCCGTGGCCGGACCGATGCATGGGGGAGACGACTTTCTGCCTCCAATGACGCTGATCGCCCCCTGACTCTACATGAAAGCATATTATCAGCCCTCAGTAAACCAACTGAAAACGCACCCAATAAAAACGCACTCGGCGTCCGCCACAATCAAGTTCTAGGTCATAGGAGTCCCCTTCAGTAAGAAGCAGGGGCAAGGGTAGGGCATGTAACACCCTCGCGGGAACGTAATTAGCCACAATCCTAACACAAACCATTGACATGCCTTAAATGGGAATCTGGCGAGTATACGCATGCTTTCGATAAATTCTCAGCAGGCCTGCACATTTAGAGTAGGTGGGCTAACTCATGAAATGTCAACTGAAATTCCGAAATGCGTTTTCTTTTCGAAAAGATTAATTAAATAGGATTGTAAAACTAATCACCACGCAGCATAACTCTATAATAATTCAGTTGCATCAGGATGCCTGCTTTGGAATGAAATTCTTTTCAGTTGCATGCAAAAACCACACTCTGTAAAAGTGATCACTTAGTTAGCATGTGTTTTTCCCATAGATTTTCGATGCCCTTAAAAATCCAATTATATTTCATAGAAAACATGCATAAAAATATTCATTCTTTTGTTCATTTGGTGGAAAATTACGTCTTCTTTCGATTTTATACTCGAAGGAACGGTTTAATGCGGTTTTAAAAAACTTTTCCAATTCCCGAATAATTCTGAACCCCGACCTGCTACTTCACTCACATTCAGGTTTTCCAAACTACGAGCCGTATATTTTCTGCGTACGGAAAACCGCAGATTTTTCTGTGGTATTAAAAGAAGACTATATGGGTTCATAAAATTTAGCAGTTAATTTGAGATATATTGTCATTTTAACAAGCCACATTGGTGAATGCAGAAATATAACGCTTTATGAACGGCCATTTCACGGTATTTAAAAATCTTATAATTAGAGACTTTTTGAAAGTCGAAATCCTTCCCCTGAGCATAAAATTGAAAGAAGACGTAATTTTTTATCAAATGAGCAAAATAATGAATATTTTTATGCATGCTTCCCATTAAATATAACTGAATTTTTAAGGGCATCGAAAATCTGTGATAAAAACACATGCTACTTAGGTGGTCATTTTTTACAGAGCGTGGTTTTGCATACAGCCGGAAGTTCGTTCGAAAGCGGGCATCCTGCAGCAACTGAGTCATTATGTTGCGCGATGATTTGTTTTACAACCCTATTCAATTAATCTTTTCGAAAGGGAAACGCATTTCGGAATTTCAGTTGACATTTCATGAGATAGCCCATCCACTCTGTATGGGAACGAGGTATAGACTGAAACGTGTGGGCGATAAGAGCCATCGATTACGGTTCGTCTTTTCATACAAACGAGGCATTTGAATAGAGGAGCGGAGGCAGTAAGCGACGATGAGGGTTAGGCAAAGTCCTAAAACCCTAGCCTCAACCCCAAATCCAAACCACAGCTCAAGCTTGGCGACCCTAGAACCAAGAATAAACCAACTAACCAATTCCAGCCATTACCCAAATCCTAATCATGAGCTCAAAACGGGCAACTGTAGTGGGGGTACCTCTATCGGAGATCAAAACCAGCTTCCTGCACAACCTCCATCCCAACCTACTGCCAGGCAAACCGTTTGGTAGCACACGTAACTAGGTAAGATAGGAATGTAGGCTTTTTTGAACAACCAGTCCGGGGGGTCACAGACCCTACCCTTGCTGGAGCAGGCAACACCGGCTCAGTTATCGTATCACGCTAGTTGCTCCAACGTCAGGAAGCATGGATGGTGCGCGGTTGAGGTGTCCGCGCACACCATCCTAGCCCACTATTGCGTCGGTAAGTTGTCTACGATTGTCCCGTGGCTGAAAAGGCTCAAACCACGCCGAAACATCTAAGGCTACCGCATGCGTAAATGACAGATGTGAGCTTAGCAAAAGACTGACTGCCCCTGCTACGACTTCCACCAAGACACGGTGTAGCCCTTTCCGGCTGTCCATACGTTCGGCCGTCGTTGCGCCAGATCCGGCGGCATCGACTTAGTATCCCCTAGCCGGACCGGAGCGTAGGACGACTTCCCCCCCCCCCCCGCGACGCGGATTAGCTGTGAACAGTGACAAACCTCAAATGATACTGATGAACACTTGCAACCTGTAACACCCACAACTCGCCCCTGCCTCTACAGGAGAGCGCATTTTTAGCCGTCTGCCGATCACTCGAAAGCTCACCCAAAACTCACTCGCCCCCCCCCCCCGCCACAACCGAGTTCTAGACCGAGACAGTTTCTTTCAACAAAGAGCATCAACAATGGCTCAGCCATCCTGTCGCGCTTGTTACTCAAACTTGAGGAGCCATGGACGGTACCGTCCGAGGCATCGATTGAGAAACCAGAGTCCACGCACACTACCGTTGCGTCGAGGAGTTGTTTACGACAGACCCACGACTGGAAATGCTTCAACTGCGCCGAGTCAACTAAGGCTACCCCTCCCCGCGAAAGGATGGCCTTCTGTGCAAATAACAGGCGCGACTGACTGTTCCGACTCCTACCAAGTCATGATGTAGACGTTCCCAAATGTCCTGCACGTGTTAAAGTCGCTAGGCAAAATCGAGGCAATAACGGGGCCTTTGGCTGTATTAGTTACCAATAAATGCCAAATCCTGAACACAGCAGCACCGGAGAGGGAAGGAGCAAGTTTACTGGTAAGTAGTGAACAAGGATGAGGGGTAGGGAGCATGGATAGAAATGACTGTCGCTGCGTTCTCACAGCTCCTCATGTCCCAGCGGACGACCGTAGTTGAGGGCTTGGCTGCCAACAAAGAGGGACTGGTGACTGACCACCTCCTCCTCAGAGAGCTTTCCATCCTGAAAACAGGTAGATGCAAAAAAAGTTAGAGTCCCAATTACGTGAGAGCAGGCAGCAGCATATCAATCCGCCTGGCTAAGCAGAATGGCACCAAAAGGAGGTTATCGGAGAATGAGAACTTAGTTGGGTATCTGCTGAAGCCTGCGGCCTTGAGGATTATGAGAGCTCGACCATGGCCAACGATTTCTGCCGTGTGCCCCATGGTGCAGTGGGCCCAGCACCCGTGAATTAGTTTGTAGTTATAGCAGACTTGCGCAGCATCCACCGCGCTCGCTGATCTCCCACCGGCAGCAAGACAACGTCAATACAACCAGAGGTGGGTTTGGGTGCAGTGGCTGGCAGAGTTAAACAGTCCGTCTACGCGTGCCACACACAAGACCTGGTCCTTGTACAGTGTACTAGAGAAAGAGAGCGGCTGGTTTCTGAGCAGATCTTTACTAAATGACCTATTAGGGGACGGACTTCTGTAGGGAGAAAAAGATCTGTCGGGAAAGGACATTGAGACACTTCTGGATTTCGATCGGAAAACCACTCGTGACGGCCATTCTCATCAAAAACAGCCAACAGGGTCGGCTTAGTAGGAAAACAAACCTTGTTCTTGTCCGCGTGGTAGATCAGATGTTTGGCTTCGGCCTCGATGGGATCGTAGTCAGTGGGCATGATCCATTCACCAACCTCTGTGCGGTCCATGCGCTTGTCTCCATTCTTGTCGCGGTGCTTGAAGAACTGGTCTTTCTCGCGCACAGCCCAGTCTGCGAGAGGCTTCTTGGGGTCGTATTCCGACTGGTAGGAACGACTCAGATCGGCTGCGTGTAGGTGGGGTAGAAGGCATTTTGAATTAGGTCAGGTTGGTGGGAAAATGCTACTGAAGTGGCAAGTTGCTTCGGGTCATGCCAGGCGAGTCACTGTAAGGATGGCGTCAGATTCAAGGTCGTCTAATGCAAATGTTTGCGAGCAGCCAGCCTCTCGTTCAACAACTCCAACAACCCTTCTTGACCTTCCGAGTAAAACAGACATTATTTGCTCATTTCTGATAGGAAAATCCATAGCACACGTACCCTCGCCTCGTATGTGTGGTTGTGCTGTGAATCGCCTTCCCTTTGGAATGCCGCAAAATGTGGTACAGACACCAAAATTAGACGAACTGACCACTTAGTCGTATTGTTCATCACCTGGAGGCGCAGTATGTTAAGTCTGTTGACGCCTTAAACCTAAAAGACTTTATGAGAGGGGCAATATTTCATGTCTATTAGGGCTATGAGTACGTTCACAGTTTCTTCAACCCTGGTTTCTACTCAGTCGAAATACACCTCGATCTCTCGATCTCAGGTCAGTGTCGTAGATTTCCGGTGAAAGTGGCGTGTAGTTCCGAAAGCACAAACGAATGCCCGTACATTTTTGTTTCCGGATGTGCTGCACCGTGCGTGAAGCAAACCGACCTCCTTGTTGCTGAGCTCGAAAGGGCGAACCTCTCCTGGAATGCAAAGAGAAAGGAACGCTGACGACAACTGAGAACCGTGAAGCTTCCATCCCTGCTCGTTCCCATTGCGCTAAATCTCCTCCTCTGTGTGCCAAAGCTACCGTGATCCCGAAGTACAGTAGGTGGGCTAACTCATGAAATGTCAACCGAAATTTCGAAATGCGTCCTCGTTTGGAGAAGATTAATTAAGTAGGGTTGTAAAATTGATCAGCATAATTCTATAATGATTCAGTTACATCAGGGTGTCGGCTTTCGAATGAACTTATTTCCGACTGCATGCAAGAACTATATTTTGCAAAAAACGACTACTTAAGTAGCATGCAATTTTCCCATTGGTTTTCGATGCCTCTAAAAGTCCAATTATATTTCATGGAAAACATGCATAAAAATATTCATTCTTTTATTAATTCTGTAGAAAATCACGTCTTCTTCCAAGTTAATACTCAAAAAAAGAATAATTCGGTTTTAAAAAACTTTTCTGATTCCCGAATAATTTTAAACCCGACCTGCTGTTACATTTGCATTCAGGGTTTCAAAACTACAAGCTGTATATTTTCCGTGTACAGAAAACCATGCATTTCTCCACGGTGTTAAGAAGTGACCATATGAGGTTCATAAAATTAAGCAAAAGAAGAGTGTAGTTCGGTTTCAAAAAAGTTTCTAATTGCGAGATTTTTAATACCGTGAAATGGCCGTTCGTAAAACGTCATGTATCTGCATCTAAGAATGTGGCTTGTAAAATTAACAAAAGTGTTCAGATCCACTGCTTAATTTTATGAACCCTATATGGTCTCCTCTTAATACCGTAGAGAAATGCATGGTTTTCCGTACACGGAAAATATACGGCTTGTAGTTTTGAAACCCTGAATGCAAGTGTAACAGCAGGTCGGGTTCCAAATTATTCGGGAATTAGAAAAGTTTTTAAAGCCGAATTATACTCTTCCTTTGAGCATAAAATTGGAAGAAGACGTGATTTTCTACCGATTAAGTAAAAGAATGAGTATTTTATGCATGTTTTCCATGACATGTAATTGGACTTTTAGAGGCATCGAAAATCAATTGGAAATCAACATGCTACTTAAATAGTCATTTTTTGCAGAGCATAGTTCTTGCATGCAGACGGAAATAAGTTCATTCGAAAGCCGGCATTTTGAGGTAACTGAATTATTGTGGCATTACGCTGCATGATGATTCGTTTTACAACACTACTTAATTAATCTTTTTGAAACGAGAACGCATTTCGACATTTCGGTTGACATTTCATGAGTTAGCCCACCTACTGTAGGTGTATGGGGCAGGCCGGAATCAAGCAAGCTTCCAAAATGGGGAGGGGGTGCATATGCGTCACACCAGTCTGTCCGGCTTTGCCCTCCCAGGGGCACTCATGCCCAGCGAAGCCGGCCACACCACGCCATCCCGAACATAGTACGACCTACGATCAACGCCTCAGGCGAATTTACTCAAGGCCATCCATCCCGGTCAGTCAAGAGTGGGCTTGTAGACCCAAGTCATACGGCCAACGCCGGTATGACCGTTCGCAGCCACAGACAACCATTCGCGCATACCTGGACACATCGTACGTTACTACTGCAAGGAGCACTTCTGTGTTCTGGCACACTCTCTCGCTCCATCTCTTTCGGGACCACAAAACTCGAACCCTACATTAAAACAGAGTCCATAGCCTGAAAGATTCTGCCCCTGCCTGACCGGTTAAACAAACATACAACTTATGGTGTAAGTGCATAGATCTCAAACGCCCCATCATCGCCAAGCATGAGTCTGTTACTCTTAATGAAAGTGTGGTGGCCGTTAGTCTCCTTTAACAATTTTAACTGGTGAATAACAGATGGACTTTTACACACGTCATGCAATCTGAGACTGTTGCCCTGGCTACGGGAGTCCATTCAAGGCTAGACGAGTTTGGCTGACACAAATAGACTCATGCAACCTGACAGCATGCAACCAGTAACATATCAGGTCCGGTAAGAGGGCGAAGAAGAGACTAAAAGAAGCAACAATGGAAGCCGAGGCGGCAGCGATAGCAGAGAAAAAAAGATAAGGCAGCATTGAATACTCGTATGCAGTCGTGTTGTACACAGGACGGCATGCATCATGGACCACAGCACGTACTGAGGTATTCATCGAGGGAGATGTAACCATCACCATCTTTGTCGACGCTCTGAAGTGTCTCCTGGAAAAGCATGCAGAGGCGGATTGGGTGGTGTCAGCTGGACCTGCCAGAAATGACGTGCAGCTCTGGGTTCTCTTACATATTAATATAAACTATCCACCCAATCCCTTTTCCCAAAGGGCGGGATGTCGTGAAGTCGCACTAATCACATTGGTTATTCGGCAGGCCATTGGCCTGTTGCGGAGGCGATCTCTCTTGGCGCCAGGGCTTTATTGCTGGGCTTGACAACTCCGTGGTCAAAGCAAAATAATTTTTCATTTTGCACAATCTCCTACTTCAACAGGTGAGAAAATTTGGCTTTGAAAAATGAAGATGTGCGACGCCCGTAGAAACCTCTCATTAGCTCGACTGGATTAACTGAAAGATTGTTAACTCATTCGAGCGTATAGGCAGGTGTCGCGCTGATTGTCTGCAAGAGCTCGACTCTGCCCAGTTGCAGGTTCAAATTCTGGTCAAAGGTCGACCGCTATTGGCTAGAAGCCTATGCAAATGAACAGCCTGCAGGTTTTTAGTGTGTGGCCTTGAGACGACCCTCAGGAGCCAATCCAATCACGATGACCTTGTGAGGAGAAAGTCTGGATGGAGCATTGACGAAAAACAGACTGGGGACTTTCCTAGCGCTAGCGCGCACGAAGTAGCTAAATGGATATTAAAACAATGGGGCAAAGCTGCACACCGCTCATCACTATTTAATTATTTTAAACTTTCACGGGCTGTCTCGTCCTTGATGTTCAAGTACAATGCCTGTTGTCTACGGATCCCGTACTTATGCATATATTTATTACCTTCCCACTCTAGTAGTACTATAATAGGAAGTTTTAAAGACAACGGTCTGTTGTATTAATTGCGCCGCACGTTTCAGCCTCACCTCAATGACGACATTCCTCATGCGTGGGTAATCCTGTGGATGAAGGAAGGCAGCAAACTCATCGATGCTGAGCTTGTTGTCAAAGTCCATGTCGGCGGCATTCCAGCGTCTCTCGTCGTCTCGCTTCATCTTAACGTAGGTTTCCTTGCGCTCCGGATCAGAAATCACCTCTGTGTAATGTAGCGAAATGGGTAAATCAGTTAGTGAAGGTAGAAAATACGTGAAAGAAAAACCTCACTTTAGAAAGCAGACAAACAGGTGCCGTACCGTCGCCGCGGTATGGCGGCAAATTAGAATCCCCGACCTTGCAATCAACAAAAATAGGCACCGTCATCGCGCAACTATCATAATATCAGACAGGGGTGGGTTACTCTGGAATATGGCTATTTAACAGAAAACTGCACAACACTGAAGTATTTTATGGCCTCAATGTAGAAAGGAACGTAATGTTTATGAGGAAACGTTTCCCACCGCTGGTGGTTGGAGCTGGCATTTTCGAAGAGAAAAACTAACCTCTACCAAGCCCTAACTAATACAAGCGTGAAGGCTTATAACATATTCTACGCATGCTTATCATAATTCTCCCCTCCCCTAGGGTTAAGAAAGAACTTTGAGAAATCCGCCTGATCATATGGGCCCAGCCGAGTCATTTGAGGAGGCAAAAGTTTCTACCAACTCCTGTGTACACCAGTTGGCGTGGAGCTTACCCAACAGATCATCATAACCCGAGCAGAGCGCCGGATGAACACAGCCAAAGAGATTTATGATGAGAGCGCAATTCGCCCAACACTATTTGTGGTTACTATTTGTGATAACACCCGATCTTTGCTGCCTTCGCTGATCTGAGAGCGCTAAATGAAATCTTGCCATCCAGATGCGTCAGAGATTCTGCCGTCGAAGCAAAAACAACAATTCCGAATAACAGTTGTTACATCTTGCCAGACGGGCTCTAGCCCCTGGGCCTGCATGACTCAGTCTCCACGTTTCCGGCCGTGCTGGCGTGGATTCCCATCCGCTGGGTGTGAATGGCCAGCCAATCAGGTGGAGGGGATTTGCGCCACGGCCAAAAGGGGAACGAACACCGACGCGACCCTGACCTACTTTGCTAGCGCGGTGCACCACGCGATCGCTACGTTGGCAAAAGCTAATTGGACAGCAGATGGCGCACGAAAGTCGGCCGACGTGTGCAGACGCTGAATGAGGGGAAGAACGAGGGAGTGCTGACGTGGCGCGCGTACCTCCGTCCAGGCAGGTGTTCGAAGGAACTTAGCTGCCACGTCGACAAACAGGAAACCAACAAAAGTCATGCACACCACAACTGACAAAATATGTATTCCGACGTAATGTGTAGCTAACAAACGATTCGGCAATAGAGAGGATAGGCTGGCAGTACAGGGAAAACTGTCAGCAATAAGGCAGGGGGTGGCTTCACTGTAAAACTGCTAACGAGGTCAAAAATATCATTAGATAAAAGCATGCTAAGTAACAATAAGTCGTGTGATCGCAAATACATTTTACCTGACCCTACTGGAATTAGAGTAGGGGTGGGAATTCGTAATTGTGGTTGCAACACTAAGAAGTGCCGAACAATTACGGTCGGAGTTTCCCTTGAGAATATTAACTGAGTTTGTGCCTGTATGAGATTGTCCCACACAGCCGTTTAAGCTGAAATTACATCTTCATGGAAAACGTACAATGGTCTGATTTTCACAACTTCGTGACTTAAAATTCGTGTCAAGATATACGTGTATTCATGTAAAATTAGTTTCTGATTGTGTGTTTAAGGTACATTTTGGCTGTTTTAAATCTATTGACAAAGCAAATGAAATGGAGATGGCAAGTTTTAGCTTACATTCGATCAACATCCAACCCTATCCAAATCCAGGCTAAAATAACCAATGATCTGAACCCGAATTACGTTATGATAGAGCCAAGGGCTTTAGCATTCAGCCAGGTGACTGTGTCGTGCCAATTGTTATCGGAGATGTTTAAAATTAGATTAATGTGTCTCGGCTGTAGGACGGCATAAACTTTGCCGTGTCATCAAACCTTTACCCCTGGATTATTTATTTTTTGTCGTTAAGCAATCCTCTAAGACGGTTTTGGGCTGCATACCCAACACAAAACAGGACGTCCTTATCACGTCCAACGACTAAATGGGTTGGTAAAACATCCGCAGATTAGAGATTAATTAAGAAATGCGCTATAGTACAGGATGAGGCTCAATAGCAATGCTAAGTAAACCAGAAACCCTGGTCGAGGATACGACGTGCGACATTTCGAGACACGTAAAATTTATACAAAGAATAAGCGATCTGCAGAAGAGGAGACAGATGTAAACTTTCCAATCACTGATCTTCAAACAAATTGTGTTTTTTTTAAACTGTTCGGAGGAAGTTATTCTCCAGCACTTCAATCTAAGAAAAAGCTAAACAGTCTATAAGTAAATCGTATAGAGCACAAACAGGCATAACTTTTTTGGACTTCAGTCGACGAATCCTTGAAGAAATATAAGCAATCGCTTTTAATAAGGCTAGTGTGACGTCAGGTTTTACACATCCAAGTACTGCCTGCGAATCCTGGCAAAACGCCTCAGTCCAAAATGAGCAACATTTAAGTAGATGAAAACGACCACCCATGATGAGGGGCTGCATTCGCTGAGATACTACATGGTCGCTAGAAGAAAAACCGACAGCTCCACCGCCGTGCCTGACGATGTCCACCGTGTGTTTCACAGCAAGATGATGTAGGCACGGTGACTTGTGCGTGGATTAGCTTACAGTGAGAAGAGACTTGCGCAGCATCTACCACACTCCCTCCTCTCCCGCTTGGGCCTTATGTCACGACATAGACCGGGGGCGGGAAAGAGCACAGGTGGCTGGGGCGGCCAGACCTGCATCTAGGCGTACCACCACTCCTCCTGGTCCACAAAAAACGTTTGATCAGGATCTTAACCGACAACAACATCACTACAACTGATCAGAAAGAGGAGGGTGACTGGGCAACCATGCCCACGACCTGTAAACCCATTGGGAGCGGAAGCGCATCAACCGACAGAGAACCAAGTGCCACAGAACAGCTAGCGCACACCAGGCTGCAAGGGCATTCTTATGATCGTTAGAAGGAAGAATAAAAGGTATAAGTCAATTTGCACAATAATGTCGAGGCCCTTATACGGCATGCTCTTCGTGAAAAATACGAAAATCTGACCATCAGCTCCACCCAATGAAAGTGCCTTAAAAGTATGCGCAAATTCATGACCGACCCTTTGCAAAAAATTATCAACAATAAAATAAGCTAGAAGATTAGAGGAGTATAGTAATTAAAGTACATACCGTCAGAAACGTAGGTCGATTTAAAAAGGACGAATGAAAAAGTCACAACAGTCATTAAAAACGGAGTCTGACTGGATATAAAATTTCAGGCTAACAAACGGGAAGAAGAGGCACTTCACATGATAGAATATGTCTTCGTTTCTGCCACTTAGAGCTTGAATTCACACGGCAAATTAACTGAACAACTCAGATTCGCTGAGTTAATATGGGATTTAAGTGAAGTAATGATGCACGCGACCGACCCACGTTGCACCATTTCGAAAGCAAAAACGTATACGTGTTGCTTTGTGAATCAGCCTTACCAGCCAGACAAAAACTGCGATGTCTATTTAACCAATTTGGAATTTTGGATGAATGAACGGCCGAAAAAGTTAAATATACGCGATCCCTAGTGCGAAATCAACTCATAGTCGGACATTATAATGCAATCGCCTGTCGAGTGCAAAGAAATATTGCTTACGTATATCTACATAAAATGTGGAAACGCCATGTGTATGATTACTTTGTCGAACTTTGAAAGTGCAAACAGCGGCCTCCAAGTTACCCAAAATTATGGATAAATGTGAAAGCGGTAGCTTGACATGACAATAATAAATCGACTTTTGAACTTAAGTCAAGAAAAAGACAAAAATAACCAGGTTGCTAATAGACAACAGAAAAAGCGTGACATTTATGATACCTAAATCATGCGACATATTTCAACACAAAAAGCAAATGTGCCTTGTATTAAAAGGACGTTAGGTGCAAAGTCTGTCTACGTAATAGAGTAAACGATATAATAGGAACGAAAGTCGACGCCGTGCGATCATCTGCATGCAGGTTAGGCTCAGAGCTTTAAACCAACACGCAAGTGCCCATTTCCGAAGACAATAGATTGATAACTTTGGTTATTCCATGTCACAGCCGATAGTAGTTGATAAAAACTGGTAAGGGGCTTATTTATGAAGCAGTCATTCGGTCTGATCACAGCTAACAGCTGATGGACAAGAAAGTCTGCGATGGCATATTAACAACCCGTTTGTGTTGGTAACAGCAAATAAACGAACTGACCAACGAGGAAGTCAAAAATAAACAGACATGGAGTGAAAAGGCCCAACGTGTACACGTGTTGATGAAAACTAGACATGACTGAGCGGTCGCAGCATACCCATACTTCTCAGCCCCATTTTTGTGATATCCTGCCAGATGGTGAAATTTCGGTCTAAGGGTGTATCTGGCAAAATGAGTCTCCAGAACTGCAGCTAACCTTATGTGGTAGACTATCCTCGCTGTTAAAATTTGCACCGACCTTGCCTAAAGTATAACGAATGCTATAAAAAACGGGCTATCAAAGAAGCTACCCTGCCAACACATGGCCCCGGGGGCCAGACGGGGCCAGGCACCGTCCAAATTTTTGTGAATTTCCATCTTGTCTAATGACATCATTCTGCATTATTTTAGACAGATTTCGCTCTCTTATCGTTAAATATAAGCTTTCTAGCTTGCATTCACTATTGTAATGAAGGTGGGTAACATATTGTTCACGCAAGGGTTGTGGGTGTACAGCGATCAAAAGTTGAATAGTATAACCTACTGTACGGAGAATTAGGAAAGGGAAAATACTGGTAACGTAAATGTGGGGTTATTGTGAAGGAGATCTCCTTGCTCGAGCATGGCGTCCCCTGCGCGTTTTTTTTCGAGGACGGGGCCAGACGGGGCTGTCGCGTCCACAGCCCCGTCGTAAGCCCGCCCGTAGCCCCGCCCAAACGGGGCCCAGCCCCGTCTGGCCCCGGGGGCTAGACGGGGCTGGTGCTAGCAGGGTACCCTTAGAGAGTGTGCCAAATGTCTTACTAGTCGTGCAAGGACCTTTTTATGTAAGGATACACAACTTCGATCAATCAGTGGACACCCTCTTTGGCCTATATCAGTCCACTTTCCTTACAAGGACCGGCTATCTACAGTATAGCCGGAATTATAAGATCTACAGAAAGATCGAAAGTTTGACAGCCGAGTTAAGCAACAATAGGAGTATCCAAGTTTGTATATCCTGCACCAGTATCTAGACTTGCCAATCAGGTCTGTCAGAGGGACCTGGATATCTCATGTAATAATCCTAGTAGATATGGATAAGAGAAAAGGACAGGTATAAAGGTGAGTAAACGAAAAGTCGATTGCACTGCAGAACGAATCTGTAAGCAGCTGATGTGACAGTATGAGAAAATAACAGCCTTCATTATTTCTGGCAAGCATATTTCAAGTCGATTCTTGCAGTAGCATTCAGAATTCACGCTAATAATATCGTAAAACCAAAAAGCTCAACGCTAAAAACAATAAAACCTATTCAAGACACTATGCAAATTTAAAAGGAACAAAGATTGACGTAAAAGAAAAGGAGAGAGAGAAAAAGAGCAAACATGTAGGACGAGCAGGCTTAACCGGTACGTTTAAAACACCACTCACCATCTTCCATGCCGTATGTCCTTTCAAGGTAGTCCCTCCAAGCAAGAGGTTCATTTTTGTTCTGATTTAAGTTTTTCCAGTGTCGTTGAGCATCTACGCGGACGGCAGTTTTTGCGACGAAAGAAATCCAGCGCTTTAATTCGGCTTCCGACAGCGTCTTATCACCATCTTGATTTATTTTGTGGAAAAGTTGCCTAAATTTGATTAAATACAAGGTTTTCAGCATTACACAAGTCGATCCTTAGCTTCCGCCTCTGAGAGTTTATCAAATTCAGCCGCGAGTTCTTTGCCAAGGAAGGCCTCGTGGTCATACTGCAGATTGTGTAATTCTGGGTTGTCCTCATGATGTTCAATATCACTAAGATCCTGATAGCAGTTGGAAACGATAAGTTCATTTTAATTACCTTCCGTTCAGGATGAGGTTTGGCTTGAACGGCCAAAAGCACTAGACTGAGAGCTGCGAGAACGCGGAACATCGCCGATACAAAAGCCGAAACTGAGGGAGCAGTTGAAAACGTGTATTTATAGGGCGTGATCTGCGAATGATCGGTGGAACATTAAAACAAATAGGTTTGGCAAAAACGATGAGGTGAGCAGGTAAATTCAACAAAAGATTTCGAGGAGTAATTTTTGTTTTGCGTAGGAACTATAGCAATCCAAAACTTTTAGGCAGAAGACAGTGGTCGCAGCATATATTTTTTTTCAACTTTTAAGCACACAAGGAATGCTGGAGTTTATCGGTAGAATATAGGCATACAGTTTGTGGCATATAACCTACTTTTCCCGTTCAGTTAGTAACTGAGCTTATGACGCAAGTTGTCCAGCCTCGTGACTCGCCTCTTATCGAGTAGGTTCCTCGCTGAGATAAGCAGCATTATGTTTTCCACTTTCGTGACTTGAGTTTATACTTTGTATATTACCGAGTATACAATTTCCCTGCATGAGGGTGGATTTTTCGGAGGCAATGTGCAAAGAAGCTTTAGTGGTTGCCACCTTATAAATGCCCGTTCTCACACCCCAATACATTAGTTTTTTCTTTTGAAAATACTCCGTAAACACACTCATTTATGGCGTGCGAAATATCTGTACGAGCAGATGCACCATGTAGCAACCGAATTTGTACTTAACGAATTCAATGCTTGACGCTTTTGACTTCTACTGCTTGCTCTCGTGCTTTTTTAGAGGAACCACCTGTTTTTGTTGGGTTCTTAAGTATCCGTATAATGACACTTATAAATCCTTCATGTATGGCCAACAATAAGATCATTACTTCCTGGTCCATGTAATAGTAGAGATCGCGAATGGGCAATTACAACCTAGGTTGTCAAGCTATTAGTCAAGCATTGTTAAAATTTTCACCGAGGAAGCCGCCAATCCGATCTGTGTATTCCCATTCCAACTGTACAACTCCTTTCAAAAACTGATTGATGGGAATATACTGTCTGATCTACGTTTTCTTTCACTATCGATCAACTGGTACGACTTCATTTGTCAACCATTCGTTTTGCATTTGCTTATGCCAAAGGATGCAGTTAATAAAATTTGAATAGATGCTGTATCCGGGTCATCTGTTTCTTTTTGGCAATCATATATCCCATTTTTCAGACTCCTCTAGTTGGTATGCAATGGAAATTTCCCTTGAAATAATGGCCGCAATGCGTATCTTAGCGCGAGTTTGATGCCTGTTGGTGCAAGCAGACTTGAAATTTCTGAGACAAAAACGGTAAAAATGTGGTCACCACTGTCCATAGCAATATTCTATCACTTTCATCTGGTCCTTATAATTTCGCCGAGATCACACAGTCCGATAAAAGATCTTTAGAGAGCTTGAGCGTGCCCAGAGTTTCCGATGCTATCACGTGTACCATTCTACGAATCAAGCAATCACTGCATTAAGGCGAACAGAGAAATGAGCGCTTTCGATCTGAAAGACAACGAATCGTGGGCACCTACGAATTCAGGACACATTTTATCTGTTCGCCAAGACGATACTAGCTAATTTCCACGTAAGACACACTCTTAGTTATTCACGTTCACATTTTTGCGGAGACGCAAACTTCGAGCTGGAACATATTTCATATCACCGGCAAACACTTTGAAACATCAAATTCCCATTACCAGTATTTCTTGTTGTCCCTTGAATATGCTGGAATGGGTATAGTTTATCAATTTTCGAACCCTAGAAGTGTGTGGGTGAGTGTACGACCCCTAACCTAGCTGAAGCAAAAGAGAAGCCCTTCGAGATATGAAGTGCGAATATGAGTATATTTTTCATGAAACTTTCCTTGAACTCCAGCTTATTTTTGTCCCTTTGTTACACTATGTTCACGCAAAAAGGTAAAGCAGTTTCGGACATCATCACATCCGTATGGCTAGATAAGACAAAAACAAATCAGTCGACAAGAGCATATTTCCGGAGACAATATGCCGACTGATATAATGTAGTTTTGATACCTTTGGAAGATACTGATCGCTGAACGTTTACTGCTCTTAATTTATGTCGATTTTAGCTACCAGTCAAACTAGCTTTAATTAATCAACTGCATCACAAAAAACAACGGTGCGGTCGAATTTGAGCAATTCATGCTCTGAAAATGACAAAGGCCAAATGCGGTTACTCACAGCCGGCTCTACATCCGGCTGAAATTAACATACTCTGACGTCCATAAGAGCAGAATATTCTTGGCCCACAAAGTTAATTGACAGGAAACCTTAAATCATTTACTTTATGGTTTGTTCTCTTTTCAATCTTTGTCATTATGTGCTATTTTAGGACGGGTTTTTCCACTTAAGACAAAACCTAATTCGGGAACTCTTGACTAAGCAGAAACCCAAAACAGATTAAATAAAAGTGCAGCCGGAATCGACGAGTTTATTCCAAATTATCTTCCTGTGTTCTAGTAAGACTGACAGCGCCCAACAGGCGCTGTAATAAACTGGTTTGGGAAGCAAACGTCTCGCTAATACGGCGGCGGCGGATGTGCCAACACCTAAAACCAAGGTTCAATATAGGTGCCCAACCTACGCCTGTAGGTAGTCGAGAGTGTCATTTGCAGCATTCCGACAACATGCTGGACTTCCCTGGGCTACAATGGGCGGTATTTCGACTAATTTCATAAGCAGTTGCAGCTCTTAGTTAAAATGACAGTAGTTGATAGGCGTTTTGACAGATTTCGAATAATTCATTTTGATACAGTTGTGAAAACCCTGAGTTTAATCAGGTTTAATCAGGGGCCTCTTAGCTCTAGTGGCTGGAGTGTTGGCCGTACTAAAGCCTTCCCCTTACTGTCATGTTTTCGAATACCTTCGAGGCTCCAGCTTTTTCACAGTTCGGTCAGAAGGAATGACAGTAGTATAATTCATACCTGCCATCGTCAGGATAGGCCATATTTCACAAAAGGAAACAGAGGAAGGAGTTTCGGGACATCAAGACTAAATGAGCATAGTCGTATTGCGTATGTGAGTCTGTATCCGCAGTCCCAGTTCGGGAGAAATAGATTGAGACCTTCGTCATCCGACAAATGAATAGAAACAGCGCGCAGGAGTAAGTAAGGCGGACGTTTGATTCATATTCCAGTTTCACCGTTTATAACACGTTTACAGTGGTCCTCATCAGGTCTCACCAGAAAGCTAAAATAAGACTCAAACAGAAGTTTAACTGATACGATCGGTAGCAGTTGACTTTTGAGCAGTGGAGAAGTTCAAGGGTCCAATACTGACAAGAGGATTTTTGGAATTACAGGATCCACTGCGTCTATGAATATGAACGAAACACCCTCGAAGATTATTTAATAATAGTAATAATAATTTTTTATTAAAGACCCGTCAGGGTCCCATTTGTCTCCGTCATATTCTCAGTATTTAGAGGCGGTGGACAAGTTGACAGAACTGTTCTGATTAGGAAACGTTAATGAACCTTAACGACTACAGTGACCGCTCGCTGTGAAAGCAGGCAAGAATATCACATGTGATGTGTTCGCAGGACAAATTTTCAATATCAACCGTTCATTACACAGTTGACATTTTATTAAACCTTTGACCACCGCGGCCCTTGAACCATCCCCGTTTTCCTATGATGAGTGCTCGAAGACAATCTACACCTCCAACGTAGACATCGATGAGGTAGCATAATTTGGACAGGCGGCGTTTGTCGTATTTTGACACTTTTGCAATGCTTTTGCTGGTACGTCGTTTATCGTTAATGTCCGCTTGTCTTTTCGGAAAAACCAAAACAATAGGCATTTATGGCAGGCGTCGAAGCTTACGAGACATTGGGCGAAATACTTAAATATACATTCAAATAGAACCAGATTGCTCACTTGTCTAGGGCGTTGGCTGTACTAAAGTCGGCCTCTTGCTGTCGTTGGTTCAAATCCCATCAAGGCGCCAAATTTAACACAATTGGGTTTATATGGATTATTCAAAATCTTCCAAAACATATGAATTCCTTGAATCTGGTATCCATCTGGTGATTTCTAGGTGGATTACTTAGGAAATCTTACGGGGGCAGTCAGCTTACTGTATCAGATTTGGTGGATTCCAGGCATTACAGCAGATTGGGTAGGTAACTTGATTCAAGTGTGATTAAATTCACGTCTCCTGGTGGGGTCTCGGAGCTCAAGTGGTTAGAGGGTTGGCTGTACTAAAGCCTTCCCCTTGCCGCCGTGAGCTCGAATCCCACCGAAGCGTCAAGTTTTTCACTGCTGGGTCAATATGATTTACTTGGACTTGTAATGCTGAGTAGCGTGGATCATAATCCTAAGTCAATTCACGCAGCCCGATATGGGACGATCGGAATAGAATCTCTTCAAACTAGCCGCGTAAACCGCTGAGTAAGTAGACTACATTGTTCCCACTAGTCTTTGAAGTCTACAGTAGGTGGGCTAACTCATGAAATGTCAACCGAAATTTCGAAATGCGTTCTCGTTTAGAAAAGATTAATTAAGTATGGTTGTAAAAATAATGATCGCCCAACATAATTCTATAATAATCCAGTAACCTCAGGATGCCTTCTTTTGAACGAACTTATTTCCGACTGCATGCAATATCATTACTCTGCGAAAATTACCATCGATTTTCATTGATTTTCAGTGCCCTTGAAAATTCAATCCTATTTCGTGGAAAGCATACATAAAAATGTTCATTCTTTTACATAATCGGTAGAAAATCACGTCTTCTTCCGACTTTATACTCGAACGAATAGTCTAATTCGGTTTCAAAAAGTTTCTAATTGTGAGATTTTTTAATACAGTGAAATGGCCGTTCATCCAACGTCATGTATCCGCATTTACCAAAGTTGACAATATTGCTTGAATCTACCGCTTAATTTTATGGACCCCATATGGTCTCTTAATACCGTAGAGAAACGTATGGTTTTCCGTACATGGAAAATATACGGTTTGTAGTTTTGAAACCCTGAATGCAAGTATAACAGCATGTCGGATTCAGAATTATTTGGGAATTTGAAAAGTTTTTT